ACCAATAGGAAGCATTACCAACAACATGACACGAGACATGAACACTTTCTTCACACCGTCATCTTTACAGGTACCAACACTATTCAGAATACCGAGCTTCAGAAGTCCCGGCGCAATGCACAATAAGCCCGAGAAATCCACTGAGTGCATAGAAAACAGAAACTGTAGACAAGAATATGAAAAAAAAAATGAATCAATAAAAAATCATGCACACGCATTAATCTATAACATTAGTCTCACATCACAATATAGCGCAATATATTGTTCGTAAATTAGGTAAAAAAAATGGGAAATGAAAAAAACACATCAATGCAAACAGGTATTAACAAGGTATTAACTTACCATCGAAATCTTGTTTAATTTGTAACTGGACATCCGTGCAATTTCCAGATCTAAAGTTTGAGCAAACTTTTTATAAAGCAGGTCCTTCCTTCGTTTACCGTCATAAAATAGCTGCAAATGACCATGCCAAAATACAAAACAAACATATCATATTTGTGAATGCAAACATTTAAGATAACATTAGCATAACAAACAATAATGTACCTCATTACACGGGGACGTAGTTGCATAAAAACATGCCGGCGCGGCACAGCTTTTGAGCTTCTCGTTATAGTTCAGAATGCACGACCACACGTCCAACAGTTCTTTTGAAATGTGTATATTTGGTAGCAAACATGAAACAACGTGCTTCTTCACATAATATTCAGAATATTCGGGATGTCGAAAAAGGATGACACCACTGATCGCATGTGTAACCATGCATACGTTACAAAGAAAAAACACGTAGGAATTAGGCTTAGAATAATACAATACTATACACAATTATAAAATCACCCAAAAAAGTGGGAAGAGAGACAAATAATAAGTGGGATATTGGAATGAGAATTCATAATAAATAATTTTGTATAGTATTAAATACTATTTGTAACAAATAATTATGTCACTCACAAAGCATAAAAATATTTAACGGAAATTTTTACAATAATTGATTATGACTAAAATAAGTATTTATTTGTAACAAATAATTATGATATTGTTTGAATGGTAAATAATACATAAAAATTAACAAAATTTATTTCATGGTCATAGAAGTAGTTGAAACATTTATTTAGCCAAGAGAAATTGGAGTGCAAATTCCAATACAATTATGAATACAAATTAATTATTCATATGTAACAAATATTTTTTTATTGATAAATCATGCATAGAAATTGATAAAAATTTGTTTCAATGTAGTAAATGTAGTTTTTGATGAAAATTTTGCATAGAAGTTGGTAAAATTTATTTCTAGTAATTAATATAGTTTTGGAGGGAATTTTTAGCTGCTTCACTTTAATATATATATAGATACGTATCCCGTGCGATGCACGGGTCACTAATTATAAATTGCATGTATTAAAGTAATGAAAGAATATTGGTTAGTATAAAAATAGTTTTGAATATTTCTATTTTTTTTCTTTTATTTTATAGTATATAATAATTTAATATATGATTTATATGCTTATTTCACCCGTTATAAATAGCTGTCATTTTAGAGTTCCTGTTTAGAATTAACGATAATGGAAATTTAACATATTCAAACATTATCATAAAGAATACTAACATAATACTTCTTTCTCTATCTTCCCTTTCTCATACGTTATTACAATATTTCAATTCTTAAATAAGTTATGTTAAAACTGAAAAATTGTGGCAAATATTATAAGCAACAATTAATTGAAAAGATTGTAATATATATTATTTTGAAGCTAAAATTTTTAATATTTTTAACTCCCTTGTCGGGTGAGATCGAATTCCTGTTACCGTGATTTTCTACATGTCTTCAAAAAAGCGACTAATGAATAGTTTTTTTTTTCGTAAAATATGATTCGAATATGCATGATAAACTGCAATACAACACAACAATTATTAAAAATCAATTATGTCGAACTGACATACAAATTACTATTTTAGAAAAAAATCTAAATATCTATATATTATTACAAATTATGATGCCCAACCAATACCATATTACCATCTGTCGAACTATCCATGTAAAATATTTGTAATGTATATTGTTATTAATTATAATGATAAATCAGTTGGTGTGGAACTGTCATATAAATTTATAGATTACAATAAATTTTAGAATACTTATAAAATACATCATTATAAATTATAAAAACTAAAATAAAGTAATTGTTGTAGTTTATTTTACCGGAGTAGAATCAAAAGATTCGAACACCGGGTCGTGTTCTCAAGGAAGGTTAGCCGGACTATTTGGTACGTTTATTCATTCACAAAAACGAAAATAATCCTACACACTCTAATTCAAGTTTTGGTTTTGATTTTTACTAATGATTTTTAACTAGAACAATTTAATATCACAACTTATAAAAATGATTCAAAGAGATGTAAACTAGCAAAAAATGATGAAGGTAATTCCAAGGGATGTAAATGACTAGGGTATCGGGGACAATCGTCTTCGATTTATATAAATTTGACGGTAATCAATTACTCGGTTAAACGGTTCGATTAACTAACTCATCTAGTGGTTTTGCCTCACTAACTTTCGTAATATGCTGAAGAACATCAATGAGTAAGTTAACAAGACAATTAACACATAGACAATACGTTTCCGAACATGTCTATTCTAAACGAGCCAAGTTCTACCAATTTCTTCCATCTCGGTTTTGAAATCGATTGTTTAGATTAAAATGATGATCAAGCATTCAATCGTGAAATAAATAAAACTCATTAAGATTGAGTAATTGATATACACATAAGTAAGAATGAACCGAAACGATTATCTCCTAACCCTAGTTAGAAGATTAGTTGTTCATGATAAGTTTAACATAATCATTCACATTAGAACAGACCATCTTTAACATAGATAAAATGAGATAGATAACTTACTAGTAATGAGAATTCCAAGAGCAAATACAAACTTAATCCAAGTAGAACAATGTCTTTAATACAAACCAAGATACAAACTTAAGAAAAACTTAGGAAAAATGAAGAAAAATCTTGAAGAGAATTGTGAATCAAAGTGAAGGATGATTATACATTGTAATGGAGGGGGTATTTATAGTGTTCAATCCCCAAATTTCAGATGTAAGTGCCCAAAAACACGCTCAAAATTCGCCACTATCATCCACTAAGGAGAAAAACAGGGGAAAAAGCCATAAATCCAGCAAATTCCACATCTCGCGGCCCGCGACGACGGCAACTTCGCGGCCGCGACTTGTCCCGCGGCCGCGACTTTAGCGAGCAGAAAATTCTTCGCGCCCCGCGACATTCCTCGCTGCCCGCGACCCTCCTCTCGCGTCCCGCGACTTGTCTCGCGGCCAGTGACGATGTAAATTTCCCAATTCCTTATTCGGGCTCGTATGCGCTCATCCGGACTCGGAATTGACTTCCGTTTTTTTGCTACGTGTCGCCTACGAACTCCTTTATTCAATTATGTCTTCAAACCATTTTTTTCTTAGAAAGAGTATTCGCCTAACTTCCAACCTACCATAAAAAACGACACAACACAAAACATAAAACGGGAAAAAATACACGAAAAGCTCACAAAGACTCAAATGAGAAGAAAACACATACTCACACAATAAACGAACTAAAAATGAAAGAAACTACCTAAAATGGGGAAAAAGAAAGACAAAATAAGTACGAAAAACATAACAAAAATGGGACAAACAACTCCCCCACACAAAAACCTTTGTTCGTCCCGAACAAAAAGAAAAGAAGAGAAAACACATAAATGAGTAAAGACAATGATTTCAAGCGAAACTCATCTCAAACTAATCAATCAAGTCAAAAAGAATTCAAATAATCACAAGAACACACCTCGACTAATAACTTGGTTATTTTGAAAAACATAGACTCTCAAGTGCACGATTATATCATGTATGCCTCACTCAATTTCTTTTCACAAATATCAACGGGATTCACTGAAATTGGTCATCAATCAAATCAATCATAAATTTGGCTATCGTCTAACTCTTACTTTAAAACAATCAAATTCATGTGATTAGTGAATCAAGAGGACTTTTTAGGGATGTAACATAGGCTCTTTGGATCGGGTAGGATAAATATAGGCTAAGTGGCTAAATAACAATCGAATTTGCTCCGTTCATTCACCTAACCATGAGCATAAACTTTTTTGGTTGTTAAATATCAACCGTTTCCTCCCATTTCTTCAAAATAACTACGATATCCTCATTATTCAGTCTCCTTTTTTTTAGATGACAACCTTAAGATATTCATTTTCCTTTGGTTTCATTTCGATATATATATATATATATATATATATATATATTATTTTTTTAATATCAATATATACAACATCGATACTAATCATTTCCCAATCTTTACAATACCATTTGCAACTCAAAATATCATCATCACGGGTATTTTAAGAAAGAATCAACACGGCTCAAAGGGGCTGACTAGCGGATTTATTTTCACAAAATAAGGCAATACAAAGAATGCCTCAATATATTCATATCGCACAGATTCGACTAATTTATTTCAAAGTAGACTCAAGGCAAATTCTGATTGATAACAATTTCGACCAATATCACACAAGAAAAGAAACGAACATGGCTCAAACCTCACAAGGTAAAATATTTGTCAAACAAAACAACCAAGTATTTCATCAAGATATATCACTTGTTCATATTATCGCAACTTCTTAACTCAATCAACCGTTATTGACTACTTCCACCATTTACCACAGTCTAAACTCAAAAAGACACAACACATAATCCTAGAAAGAAAAAAAATAAAAAAAAAACAATTCTAAAAACTAAAACAATTCTAATCATAAATTTGGCTATCGACTAACTCTTACTTTAAAACAATCAAATTCATGTGATTAGTGAATCCAGAGGACTTTTTAGGGATGTAACATAGGCTCTTTGGATCGGGTAGGATAAATATAGGCTAAGTGGCTAAATAACAATCGAATTTGCTCCGTTCATTCACCTAACCATGAGCATAAACTTTTTCGGTTGTTAAATATCAACCGTTTCCTCCCATATCTTCAAAATAACTACGATATCCTCATTATCAGTCTCCTTTTTTTTATATGACAACCTTAAGATATTCATTTTCCTTTGGTTTCATTTCGATATATATATATATATATATATATATATTATTCTTTTTAATATCAATATATACAACATCGATACTAATCATTTCCCAATCTTTACAATACCATTCGCAACTCAAAATATCATCATCACGGGTATTTTAAGAAAGAATCAACACGGCTCAAAGGGGCTGACTAGCGGATTTATTTTCACAAAATAAGGCAATACAAAGAATGCCTCAATATATTCATATCGCACAGATTCGAATAATTTATTTCAAAGTAGACTCAAGGCAAATTCTGATTGATAACAATTTCGACCAATATCACACAAGAAAAGAAACGAACATGGCTCAAACCTCACAAGGTAAAATATTTGTCAAACAAAACAACAAAGTATTTCATCAAGATATATCACTTGTTCATATTATCGCAACTTCTTAACTCAATCAACCGTTATTGACTACTTCCACCATTTACCACAGTCTAAACTCAAAAAGACACAACACATAATCCTAGAAAGAAAAAAAATAAAAAAAAAACAATTCTAAAAACTAAAACAATTCTAATCATAAATTTGGCTATCGACTAACTCTTACTTTAAAACAATCNAACCACACAATCAATCAACTCGAAAATAAAATAAACTGTTCAAAAGGAAAGAGAAGGGAAGGAAGAACGTACAAGGCACAGTGAGAAATCACTGTGCATCCGATGGTGGCGGTTGTGGAAAATTAGGGTTGCTCGATCCCGAACCCCAATAGGTGTCCCACTGGTTGAATCGCTGGTCCCAACGGTCCATACGAGCGTCTTGCTGATCCTGGCGCTCACGAATGGACTGGAGACGTGAAGCCGTCAAAACGGGAACCCATGTCAGTCCACAGGGTCTGCTGCTGGCTGTCCTAGTTATTCCACTGGTTCGTCTGCTGCGTCTCCAAATGAGTCCACTGGGTTGTCTGCTGTGACTCCCAGTTGGCCCACTGAGTGTTCTGCCGGCTCTCGAGATTAGCCCACCTATTGTCCTGGGCATCAAAACGGGTATGAATGGCTCGGATGTCGGAGGCATATTGGGTTTGAAATGAGGTCCACTGGTTTTGGTACGTCGCCCACCATTCCGGCGGTTGTTGAGGTGGGATCTCGGTTTGATGGTGCTCAGCTGGTTCCGGATCGGATGGTGGTAGGAAAAAATGGTCTTCATCCGTATTCATTGGGTCGTGCTCGTCATCGTCAACCGGTTGCCGGGATGTCCCGGCCTGATCAGTGGTAGGTGCCTCACCTTCATTGAGCTTCTTGAAGTAAGTGTCGTAGGCCTTGCGCTTTGTGTACTCCCGTGGGGTGGTTCCATTCTGAATGAGGTCGGCGTTCCGGAGATCATGTTCATTAATACACCGCATTGGCTCGCCTTCCAATGACCATGTCGCGTCGATAAAGATAGGTTGATCAGGGATTCCGAAGTGTTTGGCCAATGCCGTCACAACGTGCCCGAGAGTCGGAATGCCACGTTTACCGAGTTCCACATCTTGCAAGGAGTTTGGAAAAAAGGTCATCGAGCACACCTTTACTCCTGCACGCATCGCCCATAAAAGGTAGAGCTCGGTTTCACTCACCTTATTTGCCTCATTTTTCCCATAGATATTATATGCGATGAACCTGTGCACAACAGCTGTGGCTAAGTCTTTAATGAGCCCGTTCGGAGGGCCACGGGAATCCCACGTAGTAAGTGGGGAAAGTTTTGTCCAACTATTCTTGGCGTTAAAGTCTGTCGGTTTGCTTCGTTTGCCGACTAGGTTGAACCCGAAGACTTTCTTCATCACGTCGTTATCCACTTTCACATCTTTCCCCCGCATCTGGAAAGTGAAGTACTCGTTACCATCAGCGAGTACAAACGAACTAAAAAAACTCTAGCATAAGGCTCAGATACGACTTTTCCTCGATCTGGGCATAGTTGAAGAGATTAAGCACCCCCAGGTACTTCTTAACGTCGGCAATGATTCCCAAGCTCCTCAACAAGTCCCAATCAATGGACTTGGGCCTCACTAATTCCTTCTGTGAAAGTCGAGAAAATATTTCGCCCTCCATTCTCGAGTAAATTGGGAAGGAAGCGCCGTATTGTTGCCGAAGATCTACCCGGTCACTTCCTTGAGGGGCGTCGCGGTTCCCTTGGCCCGAGGATTGGGCCAATTTTCATTTCCTGGGATTGGAGGGTCCGGCTTGATCGGTATTCGATTGACGTCCTGGCTTTTTACCCATGTCGACGTCTTTTGGGCAATTTAGCAAACACGTTGTAAGTGAGATTTTAGATGATAGAGCTTGGAGATAACAACAATGGTGAAGCCCGAAATTTCTCAACTTCAATCGCAGCAAAATATTAATCCATAACTACACTCGTCAAAGTGATAACTAGAAAGGCAATTACCGGAATTCGACCCGCGTTTGTTTACCGAAAATGTGGAAGGGTTGCACGGACGTTGACTATTTTCATGTGTCGAGTTGTGAGGTCGTCGTTGTTGGTGCAGTTGCTGTCGGAGGTGACGATCATCGGTGAGGGTCGTTGATGGCGACGGCGCCGGAGGGAGTCACGGTTGTAGTGGCAAGGTAGTTTCTGAAATTTTAGCCCCAATTATTCGCAGGAACTCTTGTGTACCAAAGGTGATGATCGAATTTCCGAAAGATTTCAAGGTTTAGAGGAGAGATTTTCGGTTGTTGGTGTGTAGGAATGAACAAATCGCCAGAGGTATTGAGGGAAAAGAAAGCTCGAAAAAACTGACCTTGTTCATCATTTGGGGCTGTTTTAATCGGGAGGTTCGAGGCCCGCGGAGATGTTAGTGTTATATAGTAAAATCTTGGTTTTGCATGTTATTACACATTTACCCTTTATGAATGAGAATCATGTTAGATTAAACAAGTTCTACGTTCTGTTGTTCTGCACTTAGATAGGGTGGGTCGTCATCGGGCGAACCGAAGATCACTCTATCAATCACTTGCGAAACAAGAATAGTTGTTCACAACCTAGATGGACATGAACACCCCATCCGAACGGTTGTAGTGTCAACTGTACAGTTTGTCTTGACTGATTAGTTGCACTAGTACATTTATGTATTAAATAGGATCCCAGAGAGGAGAAGTTCATTTTATACTGATCGTCGTAAATGAACTAGGCCTCGGTTAATTACTGCGTTCTCTTAACCCGTAAGATATTAAACAGGCAGATAAATATAATATATATTACTTTGATTCACATGGGTGAGGTTCAGTTCGCTGGATTAATATTCCTACTGTTTTTGGTAATATTATTATATATAGGATGTGTTGTTAGGATATTTACAGTCACCATGTGCGTTAGTTTGATGATGTCCCCGGAGTGAGTTCATGAAGGACTGTTATGCTAAACCCTGCAGGTGGATTAAGTTCCAGCATATTAAGAATGTGATGGACGAGCGAAATAATAATAAATTAATTAATTCTTGATTGTCAGTAATCGAATTAATTAATGGACATTATATCTTAAACGTGGGGAGGTAAATCGAGTAATTATTATTGGAGTCGCAAATGTAATTTGGACTAGGAAAAGGGAGTGCAATAATATAATTTTGGTGGCCCATTAATATTATTTAATTAATTAGAGGAGTGGGCTTGGCCCACAGTTAGTCTAATTAATTAAGGAGCCCTTTTTCTAATCTCCTAAGGATCCCTACTGTAGCTCTATATATATACATCATTAAGCTCATGAGAAGAGAACAGAAGTCTCATTCACACGAGATACACACCTCTCTCTCTCTACATCTCATTTGAGCTTTATCTTCTTCTTGTTGCTCCACTGGTACAAGTTGAAGAAGGGTGTATTGAGTAATATAGTAGAAGATCTGTAGGTAAACCGAGACAAAATATATTTTGACCTACAGAACTAACCAGAAGATCTGTAGGCATACCCAGACGACCGTCTCGACGAGAGCTTTCCATCGCCGCCAAGATCGCGGGATTCCGACGTCTCACGCGCCCTCACGCGCCGTCGCAAGCTCCCAGGCTGAAAAATTTCGTTTTGATCTGTTTGCATCCGTTTGATCCGATTTTGATCTGATCTTGTCCGTGCAACCCAAGACGTGATTTGTGGTCAACCGTTCGTGGTCAGCCAGATTTACATAAATTTTAAGCTGTAAGTTCTCTACGTCAAACCTTTAGATCCGCTTCGTGATTTGTGCATAACGAGATCCTCACAAATCCCAACAGGAGAATCTCGCGGCCCGCGGCGAAGAAACATCTCGCGGCCGCGACTTCAAAGCGCAGGAAATTTGGAAGTTGCGTCCCCTTTCGCTGCCCGCGACCTACCTCGCGGCCTGCGGCGAACAAATCCCCCGCGGCCGCGACTTCAAAGGGCAGAAATTATGGTGGATTCTGGCGACCTGCTTCGTGACGCGCGACAACTCTCGCGGCCCGCGACCATCCTCACGACCCGTGACGAACATTGTTCCGATTTTTTTTTTTTTATTTCATGTATATAAATATAGAATATGTACAAAGGTGCTCGACTTTATTACCGTGAGCTCGGCACTCACGCGATCAAGTATACTGTGGGTCGCCGAGATTGACGGTCTCGACGTGCTTCGTAACGATTTCTCCTCCAACATACGACTTGATCCTTTGTCCGTTCACGACAAATAATTCACCGGTAGACGGGTTCCGAAGTCGGACGGCCCCGAAAGACAATACTTCATCAGCAAGCATCGTGGAGTCATTTGACCTTGTCCTTGTAAATCTTTGAATTCTCGTACTCCTCGTTCCTCAATTCTTCGAGTTCCGAGAGCTGCAAAATTTGCTCTCTTCCTGCGGTATCAAGATCAAAGTTCATCTTCTTTATTGCCCAAAATGCCTTATGCTCGATCTCAACCGGGAGGTGGCACGCTTTTTCGTAGACGAGCCGGAATGGGCTCGTCCCCAAAACTCCTTTGTACGCTGTTCGTTGGGCCCATAAAGCATCGTCAAGTCGACTCAACCAATACTTCTGGTACGAGTTCACCGTCTTTTCAAGAATTGTCTTAATTTGTTTGTTGCTTGTTTTCGCTTGGCCCGACGTTTGTGGATGGTATGGTGTCGCCACTTTATGTGAAATGCCGTACTTCTTCGTCAACTTCTCGAATATTCGGTTGCAAAAATGCTTGCCCGCGTCACTCACGATAGCTCGTGGAAATCCGAACCTACTCAAAATGTTACCCTACAAAAACTTGATAACCACTTTAGCGTCGCACGTCCGTGTGGGGAAAGCCTCGACCCACTTGGACACATAATAAACGGTATGAAGAATATATTTGAAGCCATAGGATTTAAGAAATGGTCCTATAAAATCAATGCCCCATACATCAAATATTTCAACTTGAAGATTGTTAACTAGGGACATTTCATTTCTAGGACCGATATTTCCCGATCCTTTGACAACGGTCGCAAGCTTTGCAAAAGTTATGAGCATCCTTAAAAAGAGTAGGCCAAAACAAACCCGATTGGAGGACCTTAAAGGCGGTCTTTCGACCCCTAAAGTGTCCTCCGCAATGAAGCTTGTGGCAAAAGGCAAGCACGTCCGATTGCTCTTCTTCGGGCACACACCTCCGAAGAATCTCGTCCTTTCCTATCTTTTAAAGGAACGGGTCGTCCCAAAAGTAGCTCTTGCACATCAAAACAAATCGTTTCCTCTCTTGCGAAGAGAGGTTAGGCAACAATACTTCATCGGATAAATAATTCACTATGTCCGCATACCATGGATGACTAGTAACTTTACTCGCATGCTCATATGGAAAATCATCATTTATACAGTTATGCTCATACAATGCAAGTGAAGACTCGGAAGGTACAATACGAGACAAGTGATCCGCAACAACATTTTCACAACCTTTTCTATCCCGAATCTCAACATCAAATTCTTGTAAAAGTAAAATCCACCGAATAAGCCTAGGTTTCGATTGAGTTTTACTCAAAAGATACCTAAGGGCCGCATGATCGGAATGCACAATGACTTTAGATCCCAAAATATAGGACCTAAGTTTTTCAAGCGAAAAAATCACGGCAAGAAGCTCTTTTTCGGTAGTCGTATAAATCAATTGGGCGCCGTTTATGGTCAAACTAGCATAATAAATTACACGGAGTAATTTATCAACTCGTTGACCCAAGACGGCTCCAACCGCAAGATTCGATGCATCACACATGATTTCAAACGGTAAAGACCAATCGGGAGCAATAACAATAGACGCGGTCACAAGCTTATTTTTCAATGTAGCAAAAGCATCTAAACATGCATCATCAAACACAAATGGCACGTCATTAGCAAGCGACATAATGGTTGGCTAATTTTCGAAAAGTCTTTGATGAATCGCCTATAAAAACCTGCATGACCCAAGAAACTACGCACACCATTCACATTCACGGGAGGGGGTAATTTTTCAATAACATCAACTTTTGCCTTATCAACTTCTATCCCCCAATTAGACACAAAATGCCCTAGCACGACTCCGCTTTTTACCGTGAAATGACTTTTCTCCCAACTCAACGTCAAATTAGACTCGATACAACGTTCAAGCACACGAGATAAATTATGGAGACAATGAGAAAATGAATCACCGAAAATAGAGAAGTCATCCATAAATACCTGTAAACAATCTTCGAGCATATCGGAGAAGATGGAGAACATGCACCTTTGGAAAGTTTCGGGTGCGTTGCAAAGTCCGAACGGCATGCATCTAAAGGAAAAGGTGCCAAATGGGCACGTGAAGGTGGTCTTCGGTTGGTCCTCGGGTGCTATGGCCACTTGGTAGTAGCCGGAAAGTCCGTCGAGGAAGCAATAGAATTGGTGGCCGGAGAGGCG